GCTGTGTGGCATGTACTAGTATGTGTCAATCCTTGCATCTGTTTATTGCTTCTTTTCACTTTTTATCAATTGCAGCAAAAAGTGAGTATTCTAAATATAATTTACTGGGATTGACAGAGACAAGTCTTCAGGCTGGAGTTCTGGGCTTTTGTTGTTGGGATTACAGTGTTTGGCATTAAGTGATTCTTTACTATCTTATGTAAATGCTACACACCTATTAGATAGCAATAAGTAGACAAAGTAGAACATTGTGCGACTTTGAAGACAAATTAGGAAGACAAAGTGATACATTGATAGACATTAGTACACAAAGTGAGACATTGTGAAAAATTGTGAGACATTGGTAGACAAAGTGAGACATTTTTGTACGGTTTTACTGTACTGTGTAGACATTGGTATACATTAGTAGACATTGTGGGACATTGTGAGACATTGTGAACATTGTGAGAACATTGGTGAGACCATTGATAAGACTATCTAGTAGCTGCAGTGGTACTTACCCAAACACTGAAAGGAAAGGGTTTGTTTGTATTGAGTCTGCCCATGGGAATAGGTATTGCACATTGTAATAGTGAGAGAGATACAGTGAGAGAAACACCTTTGGTTAACTCAAGTATTGATATATAAAAAGTACTAGTTTTAGGCAGACTACCTATCTGGTCCGGAGGACCTTTGTCAACGCTGGTACGAATCGAGCCCGAGGGCCCAAGCAACTGAGTCGTTTATGTGGGTGTTCGCACGACACGAGGGGAATAGCATTCAGTTTCATTGGAACAAGAGGATGTACCTCATAGAAGCACGATGGTAACTAGCTAACTAGTCTACGCTCGTCTTTCACCTCCGTCCCCAACGAGAGGGACAGGTCCTTGTTTCTCCGCTACCACAATGAATGCCTCCTCGTGGAGTGACCGGGGGCGCAGTGGCCTAATCCGGTTAAGACTAAAATGTGTGATCAACAGTTGTCTGTTGCCGTTGGAGCTGTCGATTCGCTGGAGCAAGTTGCTTCTGAACTCTGTTCGGGCCAGGGTGGTAGATTCAAGCCATCGTTTTGTTTGTCGATAGTGAATGTAAGGGTGTGGGTTTTGGTGTCCGGGTGGACTCTCAGTGGTCGACGGGGAGTAGGCCTATGGTGCCTTGGGTGTACTGTTGTCGAACCGTTCGCGTAGAGTGTCCAGTTGGGTAGTTGGGTGGGAGTGAGGTTAGTGCCATGGACGGCTTCTTTTCGGTTGGTCCAAGGTTGAAGTGTAGGCTCCAGATCTGTTTGATGAAGGCGCTGGTCCAGGCCAGCCATCTCCGTTCTTCTTGAGTCGTTGCAGGTGTGTGTTTGGATGTGTTGGAAGGATTGGGAGACCCTGCCAAGTAACAAGTTCACCAGCCAAGGTTGTTTTGGTCGGCGATGGCTTGAAAGCGTTACCAGTTCCTCCACGACTGCAAGAGTATCCCGTGGTAGATTGGTCATTTTTTATGAGTCAACACGATGGAACAGAGAAGCTGGCAAGTACACGTTCTCAACGAACCAAAAAGGACACGGTAAATATGGAGTATTTCGACAGGAGTAAAGCATCCTACCAACGAACCGTTTCCGCAAATACCACGTTGACTTCCGTATCAACTACACGATGTATTGATCCAACACGCTACAACCAGCGTTACTAATCGCATCAATCAAAGCTCACAACACAGATTATGAATTAACTAAGAAGCGAACTTGCATATTACCTTGCACTCGTCTTGAATATTTGCAGTTGATCTCGTCGGGCGGTAGCTACCCTACAAGATCCCTCTATTCAAGTAGTATTTCCTCACGTTAAGCAGATTAACTTAGCCGCAGTTACGCCACTGCCACACCTTCATCAAGATGGGCCGATGAACGCAGCCACAGCTCAAGCATGTCCTATGCACCCTATGCGGCGAAGATGCTCCAACCACAGGGTACATGCATCCAACATGCGCATCGCACTGTCTGAACAAGAAATCGACGAATGGATGGATCTCCTACTCATCACCAAATGAAGTTATGCCTCCAAGCTTCCAAACGACACCAACGGCTGCGAGACAAGTAGCTCTCACCAGGAAGAAACTTACTGCTCGCGCGATACAGAATGTATCACCATTGTCGTCCAGGAGGAAGGCACCCATCCGCGTCGTAACACTGACCGCCGACGCACTCGACGCTTTCCAGAGTTGGACTCTTCCAGCCACACGGCGAAATCGTCCCATGGCAACAATGAGACGCAGCGATGCAACGTGAACGATGGGGACAAGTGCAATCGCACTTTGGGACAAAGAAACAATAAGCCCGTCTCGCTCAAAGTTCAAAGAGATTTTCGCGATGAATCAGTCTTCATCAAATGGAGGAAGAATTTCCTCAACACGCTCAAGTCTCAAGGTCTCTCCCACCTATTGATTCTGATTCACGGTACCCAACGTCGAATAACGAGAAACAAAGAGAATGGATGTACAAGACCTTCGAAGCATCTTCCATGGAAGCACAGCGCAAGATCTGTCGTCCTTGCCAACGAAACCAGCAAGGACACTCGCGCGTTCTGGAAGGCAATTGACGCCTATTACTCCAAGTCCATGGTCGCAACCCTGCACTCGGATAAGATTTCGTGTTACTCACCTCCCGCTGATATCGCAGAAGGCACAATGGAGAGGGTCCCAAGCCTGGTTTCATCTCCAACTTCCATCGAAAAATTTCGGCAGTACAAATGAGATCAGCGAGAGCCATCACACTGAACAACAGGGGGCACGTTTCTTGGAACGCTGCAATCTCCAAGGCACCAAAATCTCGTTCCCGTACGACTCTCGCAATGCAGACCAAGAAAGCTGCAGGCGACACTCCCATGTATACTCTCGAACAGTACCGAGCGGCCCTTCTCGAGCAAGCTACAACTGCATGACAATGCCAAACATGCGACGTCACACGCTCTCGAAGCAACGCCGGTCGGTCGCACCTACCAACAGCGAAATTCTCTTCGACGATGGTACAGCGGAAACCGTGGCGACACCTATGAGGCATTCGTCCATGATATGGTAAACACCGGTGGAGAGTCCTTTGCAAGCTCATCAGACGAGCACTCGGGGTCACGACAAGTCATGTTGAACGCAACCACTTGGCGGTTCGTTGTCCAAGCCGGATCAAGAGGCATGGATAATATCTCCGAGCAGGCGAAGAAGAGCATTCTGACTACACGGCTGACCTAGCTGTTTCGACGTAGCACCACAACTCTGGGCAATCACGCCCCTCCCGCTCAGTCAACTCTCCACGATCTCCTCGACATGGCAGCACCACGCAACGAGCAGGCAACCTAGAAGTGTCCTCGCACCAAACCAGATCCAACAAGAGGAAACTGACTATTGCAGCTCGCGTGCAACAAGACGCATTCAACGCCAACGTCCTTCGCGCGGTGATATCGCGTCGTCTCTATCACAGTCGACCTAATACGGCTACACGCGAGGATACGAGTTCACGAGTTGATCGCTCATCATACGAGTCATACTCCCACGAGATGTTTTAAGCGAGCCAGAGATTTACCCTGATTGGCAACCCTTCGTATATTTCCCTGATGAATCCGAAGACAGCCAAACACAAAACCCCCGTGGCGAGTAGCGGATTATTTAGTTGATTTGGGCGAGGTGAAAGGTTTTGTGATCTTTCGGGCTGGGGTTGGTTCCAATTTGGAATGACTGTTTCCCTTGAATTCCTACGAGGTCACGGTCTTGTGGCAGATGGGTGGGTTGAAGTGTTTGTTGGCATGAAGGAGCAGGCCTTCTTTGGGGGTGGACTGAAGCTGGGAGTAGGCTTGGGCAGAGTGAGGTAGGGGCCAATTGACCAAGGGTGGTTGGGGAAGGGGAATGGGCAGAGTCTTGCTTCCATACTTGTACGAAAAGGAGTGGGCAAAAGGGCCGAGCCCCAGGAAAGGATCAATGGTAAAGGCTAACAGGATGGCACCGGCCGCAACCAGAGCTTGAAAGTATCAGTCAACAAAGCAATGGGCTTTGGAAGTAAGATAGAAAAGGTTAGGGATTTTAACTTTCGAACCCTTTGGCCTGTTCATCTGTCCGTAGAAGACACAGCGCCGGGCTGTGTGGCATGTACTAGTATGTGTCAATCCTTGCATCTGTTTATTGCTTCTTTTCACTTTTTATCAATTGCAGCAAAAAGTGAGTATTCTAAATATAATTTACTGGGATTGACAGAGACAAGTCTTCAGGCTGGGTTACTGGGCATTTTGTCTGTTTGGGTACAGTGTTTTGGCCATTAAGTGATTCTTCTATCCTTATGTAAATGTCTACACACCTTTAGTAGACATAAGTAGACAAAGTAGACATTGTGCGACTTTTGAAGACATTAGGAGACAAAGTGATACATAGATAGACATTAGTACACAAAGTGAGACATTGTGAGACATTGGTAGACAAAGTGAGACATTTTTGTACTGTTTTACTGTACTGTGTAGACATTGGTAGACATTGGTAGACATTGTGAGACATTGTGAGACATTGTGAGACATTGTGAGACATTGTGAGACATTGTGAGACATTGTGAGACATCCGTAGACATTGTGAGACATAAGCCACTTTTACAAAGGAGCATAGAACATTTAGGCAACTCTGTAATCAGATACAATAGCCTTAAATAGACAAAATGCCGAGTAACCCTGGAGTTCTGGTTCCGAGTGGCACAGGCGGCATCTGGAGGCTGGAGGAGTAGAATCCGTTGTCGTGACACCACCCCAGCATTATCGACTGAGACCCCAACTACCGGCATCACTCGCTCGAGTGCACTTTTTAAAAAATCCTTTGCTACCGTACTGTACAACAGCCCGCACCTTTTTACAACTAACTACCAGTAACTGACTGTCAAGGACTTGATATCTATCACTTGTTATTAGCTCTGAGCGCCTCTTTGTCCCCAGATACCCTACAGCTCCAATAGATATCGCCCCTCCATCCATACTGGTATTAAGGCAGAGCCATTCCGATGCACCACTGCAATGCCGTTGTCAAGTTTGAGAGATAACAAGAACGAGGACTATCGTTCGGGTGAGTTTGGTTTGGTGGGTGCCGAGCAAGGAGACGAGACGGCGTATGATACTCGTCGTCCACCGGCGGTCGATGACTCTGCTGCTCCCCGCATTGAATTCCCCCAAGACAAGATATATGGAAGAGACGAAGAATTCGCGACGCTACGAGGACTCTATGACGATGCCAGCGATGGTGATGGTCCTGAAGTGGTGTTTCTTTCGGGTTACTCGGGATCGGGCAAGACACGGCTCGTCAACGAAGCATTTGGCAAGACGCCGGTGTTTATCCAAGGGAAATACGAGGAGTTGCAGACCGATGATGTCTATATGGGCATTGTGGAAGCGTTTGGACGGTGGTATGAGTCTCTGAAATCGGAGTCCAGAAAAGAATTTTTGGTGCATTTGGAAGAAGCCGTGGGAGATGACATTGCGGTGGTGGAGGAACTCATTCCCGGCATGATGGATTGCGGTAGTAGTGTGGGCTCTCGATCGTCCAGTGCCATGCTCCTAGGCCAAATCGACGTTAGTACACTCAACAAGAATCGAGTCCATTTCGTCTTGACGTGTTTTCTCAAGGCCATTGGATCTTCCGTTTCGAGCGAGGGAGCCTTTGTGTTGTTTCTCGATGATCTGCAGTGGGCTCAAACAGAATCGCTCGAGCTACTCCGCGCCATTTTGACAGACTCCACCATCAACAATTTTCTTTTTGTGGGCGGCTACCGATCCCAAGAGGTCCTGCAGAATCATCCGCTCGCAGAAATGATGGATGAAATGGATATGCACCTGGCCGACTATGAAACACTAGAGCTCAAGGACTTAAACAGACAACACCTCAATGCGTTCATTGCGGATACGCTCAACTTGACACCGGACCAGGTTCAACCATTAACGGACGCCATCTTCTCCAAGACATTTGGAAATATCTTTTTCACAATGCAAGCGCTCGAACAACTCGTTCGCAAAAATGCACTCTATTACGATATGACCGTCTTTCAATGGCAATGGGTCGACAACCTAACCTCGCAACACCTGGACGAACTACTTTCCAACGATGTCGTCGCCATGATCAAGTCCAAAATGGAAGAAGATTTGTCCCCACAACTACATAAAGTACTCATTGTGGCAGCCAACCTATCTCGAAACACCTTTGATTTCAAAACGTTGGCGGCGGCAGCGGATACTACCGTTTATGGTCCCAGAATTCAGAGTCATGCCCTGCAAAAATTGCTCGATGATGCCGTGGCGGAAGGATTGCTGTTTTGCAGTAGTACCAACAATCCACAAGAAGAAGACCCGACAACCTACAAGTACACATTTTATCACGATCGGATACGCGAGGCTGCCGGATCGTTGGTCGTGGGGGAATCGCGAGAACAACTCTTGTTTCACATTGGGAAAGTCTTGGCGGAACGGGCAGTGAACAAAGATCAAGGAGCGGAAGAGTGGATGCTGTTTGGGGCAGCCCATCACCTCAACGCCGCACCAACGCGTTGTCATCCGACAACCAATGATTGGAAATTGACCATGGCCAAGTTGAATTTGGAGACCGCCAGGGCATCCATGGCAATGGCAGCCTTCCAAAAGGCAGCCAACTATACCGAACACGGCATGGCATTTCTACCATCCTCCAATGAGTCATCCTGGAATTCCGCCGAGAGTCATGATTTATGTTTCGACCTGTATTCGACCGCAGCGGAAGCTTGCCGGCTGACGGGCGATATTGCAAAAATGCAACAGTACTCCAATAACCTTCTTCAGAACGCACAAGCAAAGGACGACGACAAGTTGTTCAAAGTGCGCTACAATTTGGCAGTGGGGCTCTTTTATGGAGCGGAACAACACCAGGAATCCCTGGCAATCATGTTGGATCTCCTCAGCAATTTGAATTGTCGATTTCCAAAAGGCACCGTGTCATGCGTGTCAAAAACCATTGGGCACTTGGTCAGTCTTCCGTTTGCCAAAGGAAAACGAACCAACAAAGAGCTGGAGAAAGTGGAGTTTATGGAGCGTCAGGAAACGTTCAAATGTATGATGATCCTGGATAAGCTCTTTGAGCTTTGCTACCTGATGAAAAAGGAGGACCTTCTTCCCCTCGTCATCTTTCGCGCACATGAGTACACCCTCAAGTATGGGCTCTGTATTTACTCCCCAAAGCTATTCGCCGCGATCTCCTTATTCTTTTCGGAAGCCCTGAATGACTTGAAAGGGGCAGCAGTGTATGCAAACTATGCGCTGGCACTCATGAGGAAGGTGAACCACCGTCCCATTGAGTGCGGGACATTGATGATCGCTTATTTCTTTGGACTGCATTGGACCGTTCCCGTGAAAGACTGCATCGAGCCCATGAGGCACGCCTATACGATTGGCACAAAGACAGGGGAACTGGAAAATCCCATGTGGTGTATCTTCAATGTCTTTCTTTTCTCATTCCAAGCTGGCGTGTCGCTGAGCAAAATTGAAGCGTCGATTGTTCAACACTTACCGGAAATGGAGGCGAAGAGCCTCAAAATGATTGTTTACTGTGCGACATCATTTTTGAATCTGACTCTGACCCTTATGGGGCGCTCCACTAATGTTGAAAATGGCACAGAAACTGACGAGGCGATGTCCGAGGTCCCGGTTGCCATTCTGATCGCTGCGGCAGGGACAAGAATTAAGCAAGGATACTTTGGAGACTACGAAAGCTGCGCCGAATCTGGATTGAAAGCTGGAAGTGACGTGCGCAAGGCATCCCCAGGGGGGCCAATTCCTGTTATGGACATGTGTGTGTGCGCCTTGTCGTGTTATATTATGGCACAACGTACCGGCAAATCCAAGTACACACGAGAGGCAAAGAGCATTCACAAAACGTTCAAGGGATGGGCCAAACAAGGTAATCCAAACATTATGCACTGGACTCTCCTGCTGGATGCGGAATCGGCGGCTCTGAGCGGGAAAAAGAAGAAGAAGGTGGTGATCGAAAAATATGAATCGGCAATCTCATTGGCCAAGGAAGGAGGCTACTTGCATGATGCTGCTATAGGCTCTGAGCGATTGGGCGAGTTCATGCTTGAAGTTCTTTCTGAGGAGCAGGAAGCCGCAGTGGTCTTGAAACAATCTCTGAGACTATGGCAGGATTGGGGTGCACGGGGCAAAGCTGATAGGATGATTGAGAAATACCCACAGATATTGCAGCAACCAGAAGAAGCTAAGAAGAACTAGCAAAGTTGACGGGAACCCAAGAGCGATGAAGCACAAAGCAAAGTTCAAGACGCGTACAAGTTCGAAGTTCAAGGACACGGTGTGCCAATTCCGAGTCCATAATGAGCACAAGAGTGCCAACAATTACTCACAGACCGAAATTCTGCAGTGGCGCAGAGTAGAGATTGGTCTCTGCTGTCAGTCGAATGGCTCTTTTCAAGGTCTTCTCTTCGCCTATCCCCACCGACGTTGTGTCCCAAGCTCACACGAAAACGAAGTCAACACAGAATTGAAGTGCTCGATGCCTTGCCTTATAAACCACTGCAGGGGGTTTGCTCCACAGTAGCAACAACAATGACCAACATCAAACAAACTAACGCGGCTCTTTCCGCATAGCTACAGATTCCAGAATTCCGAGGTTTCGACTTTAAATTTTAAAAGTGCCACGCAGGCCCCTCTTTTGCTGATTTGCTTTCTGTAGTCTGCTCCAATGCATCGACTACAATGTCCAGATAGCCTACTAGCTAGGCATTTGCTTGGTTATCCGAGCTGATCAAATTGTTCCATGATATCGCATTAGTGCTGTGAAGCTGCCAATCGTGCCATCTCAATGTCGAAGTCTCAGTGCGTATGAGATCGTTCATTGTTTCAAACAGGAGGGATTCATCTTGTGATCTGCGTGCGTCGGGGAGAAGAGGAGCTGCATCATTTTTGGTCAGGGACCTCCTCCACTGCTCTAATCTGCCCCTTGGTGTTTGTGTTCTGGATTGTTCCTGGAGCAAAGGCCAGTTCCACTCGTGTGCCCCTCGAAGCGGGCGGATCCTGCTCAACTCAATAAATCATCCTGGACCGCAGCACTACGTGTTGGGTGGTTTCGTGTGAAGCGATTCCATTGTCTCGTTCACATATATGTCAAACGCGTGTCCCTTCAATCATCCAAACAAACGACTCTATAATGATTCGATTCAACTCGACTATGAATTAAGACAATGTTAAGCCGTCATTGTCGTCATCAATAGAAGCCATTTGAATCTCTTCGAATCTAGCTTCTCGTCGACTACCTCGCCTCGTTATCATCATCAGGGCAATGATGGCCAATCCTAGCACTCCCACTGAAATTCCAAATTTGTGGGATGCCTGCAAACCATCCCCACCACCACTGGACGACGATGACGATGACGATGAATAGTAAGGCTTGTTGTCGTATGATTTCTGTGGCGTTGCCGGAGCCGGCGGACTGTCGAACGACGAGTCCGCGTTGGGCGTTCTCTCAATCGTCTCGGAAATGGAAATGGGTGTGCCTTCGTACGCTAGATCCAGGGGTAGATCGAGATCACAAATGGTACTGCTATGAGGAGATGACTCGGCGAATCCCACCCGTTTATTGACAAAGTCATAAACCGAGTAATACTTGGCGAGAAACGTGTCTCCCAATACCCATCCCTGAGCACAATAAAGAGAGCCACAAAGACGGTTAGCAGCAGCAGCAGCAGCAGCAGCAGTAGCAGACAATGTCCTTCGTTCTTCATTCATGTGAGCTCACCGGAATGTCGTGATTCCCCATAATTTTCAATAGACACAAGGGACCCACGGATGTTTCAATGACATCGACCAGTTCTTCTCGTCCTAAAAAGTAGCTGGTTTCATCGGCCACAAACTCAATGGAGAAGAACTGTTTCTGGTCACAATCAATGGATGCGGCATCAAATCCAAAGGGTGATGTACAGTCCACAATGGATGGATCGGCATTCGGGTCGTCCTTATCCATGGTGAAACAAACTGCCTGATTTTGTTCCGCCACATAGCCGACAGCATCAATGGGACCCACAACGTAGGTGGAACCGGAATCTACCAATGCCAGCGTACTCGATGCCGACAGGGGACTATCTCCCAGTTTGACGGTATCCAATTTGAAATCCCAGTATCCTTTCAACAAAACAAAGGGATAGATACAAACGAAATGAGTAAAATGAAACAGCAATAAGTTCAGTCACTCACAATGTAAATTGAAGGAATATACCTTGAAACACAGAACCATCTCTGAGACTGAATTGTCCCAGTTCATGCCATGATATGCATCCTTCATAGTGTTTTTGATTGACACCACCAAAGACTAATTCGGAATGTGCCGTTGCGGCTGGTTTGAAGCCATGCTGTAGATTCCCGTGAATGTCTGGTTGTTGGATACTACCCTCCAAATTGCCAATGTTTGCAGGTGCATCGTCCAGTGGATAATCTTCTGTGGATTCCAAATAGAGACTAAAAATGGGATGACGCAACAAGTCTGCCAAGTTTTTCAAGGGCGACGGAAAGGAGTTGAATTCCATGCGAAATGCCAATCCAAAGACTCCCTCTTCGACGGAACAGGTTTGAAAGTTTTCCAAACTAGTGACTTGGGCAAAGACTTGATTGGGAATGGTGACGAACTCTCCCAATTGCAATCGATCCATGGCATACGTGCCGGACACTTGTTCTCCATCGACATATTCGGTATGAAATTCATGCGCGCTGGCAACGACTTTGGAGTAGGTCGACGAGGCTGAAGAATCGTATTTTCTCCAACCCGTAAACGCCGTGCAGTCGCAGTCGGCACTGGGCACCCAAATATCGGACGAGCCAGTGTCAAAATCCAGTGTAAATGTCTGCGCGGGAGATCCCAATTGGATATCGCCCGTCCACAGGACCAAATGACAATTCGACAACGACAAGGCTCCAATGGAATCATTATCTAATCGTCGACGCCCTCTCCAGTCCCAACTGGTTGTAGTAGTAGCAGCATTATTGCCCACACTCGTCTTGTTGTTTTGCCGCCGCAGTTGTTGATGGTGTCGAAATTGACCTTCTCTCGCTTGAATGATATTCTCTGGCGATCGGCTCAGTTGGATCGCATGGACGTTTCTGCTGCTTTTTATTCTTGTACTTGTAGCACTATCCATCTTGCTCGTCGTCGTCGTCATGTTCAAACAGTCTATCTATGGCCTCCTTGCAAGAACGGAGCTCTATCGGGAAGAGGGGGAAAAGTTAGTGTTGCTGGGTGCTGGCTATCAGATCGGCGTCGGAAGCTGGATCTTCCTCGAAAGATCCGACGGAATGATTATTGGAATGATTATTGGAATGATTGAATCAATCTAATCGAATCGAATAGAATCTTCGATCATTCTGATTATCGAAACAGTCGTAGGGGGGCCGGATCCAGGGGGGGCAACGGGTGCTCGGCTATCCGTCATCTTTAAAACAGGCCGGAACAGTACTAGTACGGTAGAAAGCACCTTTCGATGTGAGTTCCAAACAAGCATCAAGTCCGATGTATTCTTCTTGTCATTTCTTGTGAAATGGGTTCTACTTAACCGTGGCCATTCACTCTTCGAACTTGAAACTTGAAGGATGGCCCCGTTATTGTCATTGGTGGCCGCTTCTTGTGGGGTGGACCCTTCATCTCGTTTCGTGTGGATCATTGGGAGCCTGATCGCTGATCCAAATCCAAAGTTTCCTTACAGTGTCCAATGGGAAAAGCAAGGATTTGATAGAAAGCTGCTGGAGAACCATCTCGGATTGCTCGCCCGAGACGGGCATGTGCAGCGCCTGTGGTGCGAGATTATAGAGGGATTGGCTCACCCTGCACAACCATCTAAGTAAACAGCATGCAAAGCAGTGCACAAGCCAGGCTGATTGGTAACTAGGATGGGGCTGAACCAACTGCAATAAACTGCATTTGGAGAAAGAACACAATAAGAAATAGCTCTAAAATAAGCTCACAATTTGATAATCTTTCATGGTAGCATGCGGAGGTTGTACAAGCGAGCAACCAAATTGTCATTACATTCACTAATATCTTAGTGACGAGCACGCGAATCGTCAGGTTCACTAGTTCCTAGTGAAAAGCAATCAAGATCAACCCAGACGAAGCATCACGACAGGCTCAAGAGGCAAGAAGAGCAACTCTTGACCGAGCCGAACGATTACGTCGAAGGAATCAGGGCATACAAGAAAACGAACAACGAAGGAGGAATCGGTACGAAGCAATAGCCAGACCTCCAGCACAAGCAACACAAACATCAACTATGGCGGCCATCACCATCACCCAAGAGCAACTCCAGGAGATCATGAAGGAAGCGATGAAGGCAGCGTTGACTCATGCGAGACAAGCAACGGGGACATACAGCGTCGTACCTGGAGGAGGAGAAGGTCTCGACACTACATGGGACCTTACCTCCGACAAGGGCATGAAATATTTCCAAATGAAATATTTCCAAGAAGCGACCAAAGCACCCACAGTGCTTTACGATGGCTCCATCGAAAAGTTGCATCACTTCCTTGGGCTGGTCAAAAAGAGGTCTATGACGTACGGCATGATGGCAGTAATAAGCAATATAAATGTTGGAAATAATACAACGAGGGCTATATTAACCGAATATGGATCAATCACTCAAGAGCAAATGAAAGCTCATGCCGAAACTTATCAAAGAGAAGATAATAGGAAGAGACAGGCAGCAAAGATGGTTGAGGCACTCATAGCCAACAGTATTGAGCAAGACGTATTCGATGAATTAGAACAGTACGAAGAAAAGTACACGGTAAAAGTAACACCAACCGGCGGAACCGCGGAAGTCAAACGACAGGATGGTCCGATGATACCAATTAATTTGTATGGTATGTGTCGACACCAAAGCGACTGTATCGACCATCCTAGAGCTGCTGTCGAGCTCAGGTCTGGTGAAGGCAATGGCTGACGCCGATTCAGATATACAGGCATTCAACAGGAAAGTGAATGGATTAATCGTCTCACTCAGAGCCAGGCAAGCGCAAGTGCCAACACTGATCGCTCCATTATTCAGAGCTTACAAGACGTGCGAAGATAAGATGTTTGCTCAGTACTTCTCGAGGAAGGAAGAGCAATACGAGGACGGATCGCTTGGAGCCGACATGGAGCACGCGGAACTTATCAGGCTAGCCAACGAGAAGTATAAGATCATCACCGGCAAGAAGGAATGGAAGCAGAAGACCGAACACGAACTAGAGTTCATGGCACTTAAGGCTGAAGTAGCTGACCAAAGCAAGGAAGAAGGAGCTTACGCAAAAACCCAGTCAGAAGGCAACTGGCAAGGCCGCGAACCAATGGAATAGGCAAGGGCCCAACAACAGTGGCGAATGGGCATGGAAAGCGGTTGCTCCAAATGACGGGGAGCCAACTGAAAAGAAATTTCGTGGGAAGAACTACATCTATTGTCCGCATCACGGAGACACCAAATGGGTGCTCAAGATCAACAGACAAGGTGTCGTTCACTCTACCAACTGTAGAGCGAGGCTGAAGTCAGAGACCGCAAGTGCGTTCTCAGCAACGACGACCGAAGAGTCCTCTAGCTCGGACACGGACACGCCCTCAAAGAGAGACATCCGACTCGCACAAGCACTCACATCCGTACTGGAGGAAGAACTTTCCGGTATCACGGAGGATGAGAACCTGATGACTCCCGGCAAGAAGTGAGGAGAAGAGACATCCGCGACGGATAAGCGGCCCATGATCAGCTTTTGCTTTATGCTAATGCTGATCACGAGGCTAATCGACGGATGTGCAAGTATCGCGCAGTATTTTTCATCAATAACATATAATAACGTAACCCCGTTTCCAATTCTACTCATAATGACGCTTCAACGAATGATGAAGCTGACACGAGAACGAAACCCAATTGGAAGCGATCACGTGCATGGAATCGCATGGATAATGTGGAAACTGATGGTATCACAGGTACTACTGCTCCTGTGTGCCACGGTTCAGATGGCGGTTCCAGTGCTCACGATCATAGCCATTGACAACGACTTTGTGCTGCCAATTGTGCTGTCAAGCCTGATGGTACGGGGGTGTGGCACTCAGTCATGACAATGCATCAGAAGCCAGAATACGTGCCCAAGAGGTTGAGACTCAGAGCACGGGCAAAAGAAAAGGCAAACCAGATCAAACGAGCACCAAGATCTGTCTACGAAAAAGCAATGAGCAAGGCAAGAACGACAGAGAAGCTGATCAGAGCGATGATCAAAGAGGCAAGGAGCAAGCATGCCGACAGCAAGAAATGGGCAAAAGCAACTAAGCAAGCAACGTCCGATGAGCTAAGCCAGGACAAAACAACGAAAAGAATAATGAAGGTCATGATTGCGACAGCGTGTGTATGCGCCATCGCCATTAGTGGCCAAGATCAAGCTGTGGTGGCTCTTCAGACGAGTATGGAGACCCTCACAGCAACATCAACGAGCACACCCAAGGCAACCGAGCATATGTACGATTCCGACTCGTTTGTCATAGCAGTCGACAACTGCTCGACAAGATGCATAACCAACACGATGACGGACTTCGTCAACAAACCCATGAGAGTCGACGTCAGAGTGACCGGAATAGGCGGTTCCGGAGCAGCAACGTACAAGGGAACCGTGAAGTGGCAGATACAAGACGACGCTGGAGCCACTCACACATGGCTGATACCAGACACGTATTACCACGAGAAGTGCCCTTACCGACTACTGTCACCTCAGCACTGGGCACAGTCACGGCAGGAAGGGAGAGGAGCAGCGTGTATGACGTACCATGATGCAGTTGAGCTGTTCTGGAAAGACTGCACTTATGTCAAGACCATTCCGCTTGATGGAGCAACCAATATCGCGCTGATCAGGTCGCAACCATCCTACTCGAGATTCAGTGCTTTCTGCTCGCAGATCGCTGTTGGTTTCTAGTAACACTCTAGCTTAGTAAAGGTAAAATACTGTTTTACTGTTAAGCTATTTCCAAGAAGTGATCTTTCTCCATGTTTTCTGGGATTGATTCAACTTCAAAGGATATAGTGAGGGGTGACCATATAGATCAGTTAACTCCCCATGTATGTAACTAGAGAATAGATAAGATATCCCCTATCAACTAGATGGGATAAACGACTAATTTGTATTGAGGTGTCTGTAATACAACCTCCAAACCACTCTGCACGTTCCATAAAGGATACGTGGAACGAAAAATTAATGTAATGATGGTTGCTCCATAAGGAAAAGTTGTTGGTCGAGAGACCATTTGCTAGGTTGCTGGCATTCCGCTTGGTGGCGAGAAGCTTGTCATCCATAGCAAATGCTGACAAATCTGTCAAAGTCAATGTTGACATGTGGACAGTGTGTCATGAAAAGCAACTGTGGCTACCACTCCTGTGAGTGTTGCCACTCCTGTATGACTTGCTTTGGCTTGATGCCGTCACTTTATTTGCTGTATTCGAAACTGACTGGGAAGTTCCGATTGCTTTTTGAACCGTGGACTTGGAAGTTACGGTCACTTGTATTGCTGTAGCTGGAAACTGGGAAGTTCCGGTTGCATTCTGTAGACTCAACTTTGCTCTTGACTGGCGGTGGTGACTGAACTGGACATCGATATGCCATGGTCCAATCGTCAATGATGTGTGGAAACATCAACCATTCAGGCTTGATATATGGATTTGGAAATCAGGTGAGCATTGAGTCTGTGCAATAGCTTGGTAGCTATCTGGAGTCAGTGTCCATTGGAAGGACGTGTCTGTCCTTCTTTGGGTGTCCAAGAAGTGTTGGAAGTCCTGCTGTTGTCTTTCCAGAGGAATGGAATCCTCTTCTTCCCAGCTGGGGAATTTTCTTCCTTCATCACGGCCTCCTCTTCTTTCGGAATCGAATGGCTGTGACTTGTTGTACATGAATGTGTACTTGCTTTATGTGGACCTTGGTTTGCACCTCTTGTAGATGGGTGCTGGCAATTGTGGCGTTCCGTCGACACTGTTGCTTGCTGTGAGCTGGTTCCATGGTGGAACTTTCCTGTGGAACTGTGGGAATCCATCTGCAGAAGATATCCCGGTAGCACTGATGTGTCTACCCTTGCTTGAGTAAGCTTGCTCTGCCTTAGATAGGCTGTCATAGGTGCTGTCGCACTGCAATCTCATGATGGATCTTCTGAGTCGATCTCGAGAGTCAAACTGAATCGATATCGTTGTCGCTGCTTGTTGATTCGATCGCTTCGTGTCATTCGATCTGGCATGATCGTTTCTTTTCAGTCGATCTGGTGGTCAATCTGGATAGAATCGATCGGAGAATTCAAAGGAAGGTTGAAAAAGGTTTTGAGACTGGGTCAACTTTGGTACAACTTTATCAATAACACTCCTGCTGTCACTGTTGGCACACTCCTTTGAGCTGAGCTGTGGCAGGACTTGTACTTGTTGTAGCCAAAGCTGGCTTGTTGGTTTGGACATTGATGCACTTTGGGTATGCTAGTGGAGCTTGAGGCGGTGCCTCTCGGCTTCCTTGCGGCCTCGATCGGCCCTCCCCGTGCCTCTCCGTGTTGGGGACGCCGGGCTCCTCCTTGGCCCGCT